TGGCTAACCGATAACAGCTGCGTCAACGCCCCCTGTTCTTCGGCGTGCCGGCCGCGTGTACGCGTGCGTGCAAATAAGCACGCCTGCCTAAGTGCCGCTTGAATACACCACCCCTTTGTTGATGCAACAAAGACCTCTACAGACGACATCCGCTGGGGCAGTTGCAACATACCAATGACAGAAGACTTGAACTCGCTTCATAGTCATCTAAAAGCAACTGTCATCACCACACAGAACACTCAGCCGACACTCTCAGGTCCGGCTGGACACAGTCAGGACCAGTCCCAGCTTAGCCAGTGGGTTCTGTCATCTCAGGGTTCTGTACACAATAAAACCCCCATTCTGATGACTCTTCCTTTAAACTTCTAACCTGAGATTCGACCTGATGATTGATGTGATCCTAGTACATTCATTACTTAGACCGCTACAAAGGCAAGTCCTGTATAGTTCTTCCTGACACGTTTAGGGTACCACGATTTAAAATACTCTCATGAGTACTCCTCTTAGACGGGAAATAGCGTACCTTCACTAGCTTCCACAATGTATAATTTGATGATGCGATGATTCAAAAGCTTCGAAAGAAGGTAAAGTACACCTCCCAGTATGGCTAAAAAGCATCAGAATGCATAGCTCCAGCTTTATGCTAGTTTTTGAACATTGCAAAGACACCGAACACGTGCAGGATCGTGAAACACTGTCCCTACAGCAATGCATCCTGGAGAGGATAGAAACAAGGCCCGGCCCTACGCAGAGATTTCTGCGTTCTACTGTCAAACGGTTCTTGGCCCAAGCTTCGTTAGATGATGGCATCGAAAAATTTAACCATTTTACATAACAGTATTGAGTAGAAAGGCAATTTCCGAAAATAACCGTTAGCTGCGGCCAAAAATGAACACATAGTTATCTGAAAAAGAATAATTCAGGAAACCGTGAAATACTCTTCGTCATAACGCGTATTACCTCTGGCGTTCTCTGTCCAGTTTCTCCTTTAGCGCAGGGGTGAGAACT